TATTCAGCTGTGGTTGATGTGAATACTGCCCCCTTGTGATAGTACCAGGTATGTAAAAAACAACAAAGAATGGTAAATCATAGGAAATTTTAATGAACTGTATTGATTGAACTATCACATGTATCATCTTTTGTATTATTAAAGCTATTTTTATATATTATTTTCATTAGCAAACCATTCCATGACAGTAGATCATGTAGAGAAGAATGCTAAGAAAACAAAATATAGTGAGGATTTTTTACAGTATGGTTTTACCTCAAAAATTACAGCAGGGACGTTCTATCAGCTGAATCTATGAAGCTGAACAAACTAATATGCCATTTTGATAGCAAGCATCTGAGCTGTGCCTGCAAGGATACCAACTATTTTAGAAGCAAAGCTGATGGACTCAAGAAAGCCAGACTTGACACTGGTGGCAAGTACCACAAACAAAACGTAGCAGCCATTGAAACTTCATATTTGGTGGCACTCAGAATTGCCAGGTGAAACCTCACACCATTGCTGAAGATTTACTGTTGCTAGCAGCCAAAGACATTGTTCACATTATGATCAGAGACAAATTTGTTACCAAATCGAGTGCTATTTCTTTATCTAACAACACTGTCTGCAGAAGAATAGATGATATGTCTGCTGACATTCTTGATCAGGTAATCCAGGAAGTTAAATCTGCTCCACTTCCAATATTTAGCATCCACTTGATGAATTTACAGACATTACAAACTGTTCACAGTTACTGGTTTATGTGAGGCATATTAATGATGGCGACTTTAAAGATGAGTTTCTTTTTTGCAAACCTCTTGAAATGACAACTACTACATGTGATGTATTTGACACGGTTCATTTCTGAAAGAGCATAAGATCTCTTGGGAAAGGGTTTGTGGTGTTTGCACAGATGGTGCTCCAGTTATGCTAGGATGTCGATCTGGATTTCAACGTTTGGTACGGAATGAGTCACCAAAAGTCATCTGAACTCACTGTATGATTGATTCATTGGCAAATATTAGCAACAAAGACGCTGCCACAAGAGTTACAAGAAGTAATGAAAAGCGTCATAATTTCTGTCATTTTTGTAAAGGTGAGCACTTTAAACAGTTGACTGTTTTTGCAACTGTGCAATGAGTTGGATGTGCTGAATAGTGCTCTGCTATTTCACACTGAAGTGAGATGGTTGCTGAGAGGAAAAGTTTTAAAACTTTTCGTGATGAACTGAAAACGTTTTTTAACCCGAAAGCAAGACCACAGTTCGAAGCACTTTTCAGCAATAAACGTGAACTGCAGAAAATAGCTTACTTAGTTGACATCTTTGCCTTCTTGAATGAGTTAAATGTATCACTGCAAGGACCAAATGCAACATGCCTCGATGTGTCTGAAAAGATCCGATCATTCCAAATGAAACTTCAGCTTTGGCAAAAAAAAAAAGGACGAAAATAAAATTTACATGTTGCCTACCTTATCTGCTTTTCTTGAAGAACATGGTATTGAACTAGACAAACGGATTATGATGATAATTTCTGTGAAAGAACACTTGCACATGCTTGCAGACGTGTTAAAGAGCAAAGGTGTCACTCAGTTGACAGCATCTTCAATCACCTCCTAATCACCTGAAAGTTGGATAGTGTATAAAGAGGACCGGAGAGAAATCGATGCCTTTGAATGATGATGTTGGGGAAGAAGATTGAAAGTACCATGGACTTCCAGAACAAAGAAATCTGTATTGGAAGAAGTACAGTCAGAATGCTCCCTAGAAGCAAGGATGTTGAGACCTGGCCTCATGTGCTCTGGTCATGTTCTTAGAAGTGACCAGTCCCTAGAAAAGGACATCATATTGGGTAGAGAGTTGGCAAAAAAGAGGAATTCCTCAAGGAAACAAACGGGCACAATGGCTCCAGCCACGGGCTCCAGCAATGGCAACCGGGGTGAGGATGCTGCAGTAGCGGGTCGTGTTGCGATCTATCGTTCACAGGGTTGCTCAAAGCCGCCTAACCACACGACACTGGAAGGGGAAGATGATCCAACTCTCCTTGTTTGCTATTCCAACTCTTCCCTCTGTAGCATGTCTCCTTGCAAACGTAGTAGACCGGAGAGAAAGCCTGATCTTTTGATTTTACAATATAAAGTCTTGGGAAGGGGTGGGCTTTCGTCTTTCCAAGCACTTACCGGCACACTTAGTTCTAGTTTTGTGGGCATACAAGAGACAGCTACAAGGTACTTCCGTTTATTTTTTGACATGGCCCAATTTTCATTTATTCTTTCACTTTGTGTACAGATTTGCGTGAAATCCTGTTTAGACTTTGTGGATGCTTTTGTAATATTACCACGTGCACACATACCTGTGTTGCTTTCTCATACCTGTGTTTTCTCTTTGAATATTGGTACAAGGAAGCTTTTTGTTGACAGGGTTATTTTATTTTACTAACAACCTGCGTACTTTCTTCTTTTGGGGGAACCATGTGTTACTCTAAAGAGTGGACCCTTGCCAGCCTAGGTTGGTGGAACTAAATTCTCTTGCCCATGAACTTGGGCCAAGAACATGGTCTGCAGAGAGAGAGATACATGCAGGCTTGCTGCTCTGAGGTATAGATCCTGTGAGCTTCTGTGTGCTTTGTCCTTGGTTAATGCAAGCTTCTCTCTGTCCTACCCAATATCTCTTTTCTGCTTGATCAAAATGAGGGTTGAGTTTTGGCTAATTGCAAGCAAAATAACCCTCACTGAAATCCTTCTGCCACCCTCAGGATAAAGCCCCGATTCCTGACCTTGATTAGCCCTGGAGAATGTGGCACCTTACTCTCCCATCTCTCATCTCAACACATTCCCTGCCTACTCTGCATTCCTGTCATATTGAACTCCTTTACCTCTTTATAACCTCGCCATGGGCATGCTGTGCTCCCTCTACTTGTCATGCTCTTATCCCCTGTCTTTGCTCGGCCAATCTCGATTTGGCTTTCAGATCCCAATGTATGTGGGCCACTTCCTCCAGGAAGGCTTCCCAGACACATGGCTTCTTCTCCTTGTTCTCGGAGTACTCTAAACTCCCCTGACCTGGCACATCCTCGGGCTCTTCAAAAAGTTCCTGGAAAAATGGAATTAGAAGATAATAGAATTTTCCCAGAAACCTTTCAAAGCCCCCGTATTTGCTAATTTTTTTTTTTGTTGGTTGATGTGTCCTTACCTCCTTGCTAGAGGAGCTCTAGCGAGGAGAGAGCCCTGTGCCTAACTCCCACAGGGCCTGACATTGGTCAGCATCTACTAAGGACTGCCAGGTGAATGAATGATTGTCTTCCCTTGTCATCAGTCACCTCCCCCAGCAGCTGACTGATGACACTGAATTGGAAAAAAAACCCAACCTTATTTTGGCCCCAAGCTATAGACTGTGATTTGGAAATAACTCCTGAGGTCTAGAATCAGATATTGTCCTGGTTTGGGAATCTCCAGTTCCTTCATTGTATCTTTCTCGCCCTCCTCCCGCCCGCCCCCCCAACCCTTATTTAATGATTGTGCCAGAGTTGCTAATTAGAGTAATGGCTTCATGCATTTATTGATTCACATGCACTGCATCACTAGGGAGATTGGGGGAATAAGGTTAAAATTTAGCATATCAGAAATTCAGTCCATTACTGAGCTCACAAAGAAGTTTGCCCTTGGGTCACTTAGCGCAGACTCAGAGGCACTGAAAGCTGTTGTCATGGTAATCATAGGCCCTTTCATGATTTTTGTATAGAAGTTAATGAAGATAGTGGCGACAGCCCAAAGGAATTCGTACTTGGTTGCGCATTTGTCTCCGCATTAACTCAGTCATTGTTTTGAAGGCACACTGTCTCAGACCCAGTGCGCTTGGTTTCTGGTGCTGACAGGGATAACCCACTGCTTCCATGTCTCGTATTTTAGGCGAGGAGGCTGTGGATGGCTCCCATTTTGATCTCATTTCAACAGGAAAGCCCACATGTGGGATTTAAAGGAGCCGAAGACAAAGGGGTGGCGGGTGAAGTGAATCTCTCTTTTACTTCCAATTATTGATGTTGCTGATTTCAAGGTACTTACATGGAGTGCCTGTAAAGAACGGTTCAGTTGGGAAGAGCACAGAATGGTGACTTTGTCTAAGGTCTGTCTTTTGTGGTCCCTTATATATGCACGGTTTTGAGACGGAAGCTTCCGCCAAGTCTAAAGATCGTTATCCAGCTACCCCAGGGTACTCACAATGGTTGGTGTGAAATTTCTCGCCTGAGCCTGCTATTTCTACCTACATCCCCCAATATCTCCTTTTCCTTTTTTCTTCAGTAACAGGACTCTGTTTTAACCAGGCACGTGGCTGCCTGAAACCAAGACATTTCCCAGTATCCTTACTGTTGGCACAGTGGACTTTCCAACACTCAAACATAGCTGTAGTGGGGCCTTCTGCATCCATTTCGGCAATGAAAGGAGGGTACACAACGGGTAGCACTGGGGTAGCCCTTTCGACCATGAGTTGTAGCCACGTTGAGAATGATAGAAAGGCAAGGTCAAAGGCGTCTGGGCCCTTGAAGACTGTACTTCATAAAAGTTGAGGCTAACAATGCTTATCAGAGCGTGAGAATGAACCGTCTATGCTGTTTAAAAGACTGCTATTTTAGGGTCTCTGTTATCCAGTCTTGCTTGATATCCCATCCAAGAGTGAAATTCATTTTTCTACTGCATCACTCTGATACCTCATGGATCTTTAGAGGAACTAGATGGAATTTTTTGGTACAGGGACTATAGTCAGAATTTCAGTAGCAGGAAAATACAAATTCACAGTGTCCTGGTCTTTGTATGCACATGTTGTGTTTTTCCAGCCCCGTGCAGCAACATGAGTTTTATCCTAAGATCAGAGTCCTCCTCTTTGGAATGAGGTTCATTATAAATAAAATCAATCACGAATTAGTTTGACCACAAAGCAATTGAGAAGGAGATGAAACAAATCAACTTTCCAATAATCTAATTGGAGACACAGGCCTATGTTAGTAAAGAGTTGCAATTTTACTTACTGAATTTGGGCCTCTTAATCCTTGTAATTTCTTTACTTGAATGTATTCCAGTCACCAGAAAAACTACAAGCAGAAAAAAAAAATCCATATTATTTTTCTTGAACACTTTCGGTTGACCATTGTGTTTGCTTCAGCCGGACACGGAAGCATTCTTATTGAAATGGGGTTTCCCCCAATTAAGGTTAGAGACAAAACATACGAGTTTGTATACATTTGTTAACCTCTGCTGAAAGTTCTGTTCCCAGAACCTCTTGGACATGGACTCTTTGTTTCCCTGTTTTAAAATCTCACCATACTAACCCTATTATGTCCGTTTTCCCAAAGAAGGTACGTGGGCCTGGAGAAGTCTGCTAATTTGCCTGGAATGAATGATCAAAGGGCGTGGGCACCCAGGCCTGTGAGTTTCCAAATGGCCAATGAGGACGTTTTTGTGTTTGTGCATGTGTGTGGTCCAGTGTGTGTGTGTGTCACTGTGGCCCAGGGAAAGGTAATGGAGGGGAGACGCGAAAGCTCAGGAGAGAGGCCGTCTGGGAAGAGAAGGCGAGCGGAGAGGGGAAAGGAGAAAGGACAGGGGTCTTCCTGGGGTCTGAGGGGTGAATCTGGCGGGCTCTGGGATCTGTGGCCCATCCAAGTGAACGGCTGGCCGCTGAGCTTCCTCAGGACAGAGACGCAGACATTTGGACACTACTTGCCTTCAGGAAACATAAAAGTTGGAGAAGAAAGGGAAAGTATGCCCCCATCAGATTAAAGTGACACAGCCAGTTTGTTTTCAAGTAGATAAGATGAGAGTAAGCCCTGTGTTTTTGTTTTGTTTTTTAAATCATTGTATTGGCATCTCATACCACTCTTATCACCATCCATCCATCCATCCATTGTGTCGAGCACATTTGTACATTTGTTGCCCTCATCATTCTCAAAACATTTGCTTTCTACTTGAGCCCTTGGTATCAGCTCCTCATTTTTCCCCTCCCTCCCCGCTCTCCCTTCCCCCATGAACCCTTGATAACTTATAAATTATTATTTTGTCAGATCTTGTCCCATCCGACATCTCCCCTCACCCACTTCTCCGCTGTGTTTTTAAATAAAATAATGACTGATTTTTTCTTATTCCTAAAAGAACATATTTTCATGTTAAGCACTGAGTTTTTTTTAAAAAAATGATGCAGACTTATTTTTCCTTATTATCCAAGCAACGTTGCTTATAGGAAATGTAAAAATAGACTCGATCAGCAAACATTATGAATACACCAGGGCAATCATTTCCAATGATTTTCTGTATATTTATGCAGTCACACAGGTAACTGCAGAGGAACATTTGGTTATATTCATCCTGTTTATAATGTTTTATGACTTATTTTTGCTAAAGGACACATACCAACTTTTTTTTTTTTTCCCCGCTAAACATCCTTTCCACAACTGTTTTCACTACCAGCAGTGTTTTACTTAGCAGAACTGGCCCTCCTTGGATGGACTACTTATTGTAAATGGCTTCATTTTCCCACCAATCCATTATTCTTTTATTAAAATAGATTTCCTAGTAAAATATCCTTTCTGAAAGCTATGTCCACCTTAAATTTTGAAACATTATGAAATTTTATCGCAACAGTTTAAAAGAACCAAACGTGTACTCCTCACACTATTGTATAGAGTCGTCCCTATTGGCACTGGGCTTGCAGTGAAAAGTTGGTGGTTTGAAGTGGCTCAATGGAAGAAAGTCCTGACGACCTGCAGCCAGGTGAACCCAATGGAGCTCAGTTCTAGGGAACATGTGGCGCCACCATGAGGGGGAATCCCCTCCACGTTAGTGCCTTTGTTTTTATTTACTTACTTATTTGGGTAGGCATGTAATGAAACTGCTCACCTCTCTGGAGCCATACGAATTTTACTTGTGGACAGAAAGCACTGCTTTTTCAAAAGGAGCAACGTGTCTAATCAATTCTTTGTTCACCTTCCTTCCTCTCACCTGTCCAGAGGTGAGACTCCCTCTTCCATTTAGCCACTTTGCTGAGCAGCAGTATGCATGGGTTGGTCCTCTTAGAGAGATGAGCTCGGGGAAATGGAGTCATCAAAATAGACATTTTCCCTCCTGGGTTCCATGTTTGTTTTAAGAGAAGACAGATGCTCAATTTAGGTAGAAGTGGATATAGGAATTCTTGAATTTGCAACTGGTTTTGAAGGGGAAAGTGTCCATGTCACAGAGTTGCCGGCCAATTTATTATTTATCTTATGATTATTGAGCTGGTCTGTGGCAATGAGACAGTCCCTAGATTCTCTTCAATGTTGACGATTCGCGTTCATGGAGGTCTGGCGCGCTGACACACCGTGTCCTGAAGACCAGACACATGAAAGAGGACCGAGTGAGAATGAAAAGCCCAGCCAAGTAGAATGAAGGCAGACATTTTGGGGGGTTTATTTACTCCTGGGGCTTGGGTGGGTGAGAGTGTGCCGGAGGTCTAATTTTTATAGTCATCTCTGTGTTGTCAAAGTCTGTGCAAAGACCACATCTTTATTTTATGCACAAAAGTAAATATCTAGACTCCTTGCGTGTTTTTACAAGTACTAGATCAACACGCAGGGAGAAACGAAGCAAGTGAAGTAGAGAGTAAGTAAAATAGGACTATATTTTGGTCTCAATTCTTCTGGAATACCAAATACTGCCCTTCTGGGCTGGTGATCCCATGGCAAGGACTTTGAAAGTCTTAACACCATTAGGACGATAAAGATTAGTGATTTGCTCTGCTGTATGTAGGGTTGCTATGAGTACATAGGGTTGATTTGTGGGTACCTAACAACAACAACAAAGAGCACCCATCACTCACATTTGGTCTCCCAAGCCCCTCTAGGCTGAAATCTTGCCTGGCTTATTCAGTTTAACCAATGCTCAAACCAAACCCATTGTCATCAAGGCGATTCTGACTCATAGTGACCCTATAGAGGGTTTCCAACTTGATACATCTTCACAGAGGCAGGCAGCCTCATCTTTCTCCCTCAGCATAGTGGATGGATTTAAACCGCTGACCTTTCTATTAGCAGTCCACTTACCCAACAGTGCTACCGATAGTCTTTTCTATCTGCAGTACATACTAGCCTCTGATTATACACCCTTGCCAATGAAAGAACTCTCTTGTGACCTTGGAAATGGTGAATTGCATGTTGAACTTGGGTGAGAGAAAACCCAATCTTATTTTCCTTTTGATCGAAAGCCCAGTGGAGCTCCTGGGTGGTGCAGTTACCAAAAGGTCAGAGGTTGGACTCCATCCATCCCATCACTACCTAGGAAGACAGGTCTGTCAATCTGCGGCCACACAAGCAGCCATTGAAAACTCCATGGAGCACAGGTCTGCTGTGATGCATGTGGGCCCACCAAGAGACTCATCGTCACCTTGGCAACTGGTTTTAGGAAGCCCAGGGGCGCACGGAGACAGGCTGGTGAGCGTTCACTGGAGAGTACAGAGCGTGGGCCAGTCTGAAAACCAGTCCTTTCTTGCTGAAATAGTTGTCCAGCTCCTTAGTGCCTAGAAGTCTTGAGGGAACTGAGGCTAGAACCCCAAGTTCTAAGGCAATGGAGATCTACCCACCGAGCAGGGGTGTTTCTCAATCTTTTCAAATCCAGTGTTTCCAGTTTTGATGAACATAAGAAGTTCACACCGTATTTTAATGGGGTTGGGAATTTCAAAACAGTGTTAACAATTCAGTGTTAACAATTGCTTTCTCAAAAAAAAAATTGCTCCCACGGCTCTCTCTCTCTTCCTTGTCTTGGGGTTTTGATCAATACAATTAAGATACCGGGGGTGTAACTGTTTTTCACTCTAATTAAGAAATTAATTCTACAGATAATTTATAGATAGAGAAAATGCAAATGAGTAAGTTCGAAACAATGGTCAATCTCATGAGTGAAAGCAAAACCAGGAGGTGTGTCCCCGTGTCATGTCAGTAAATATGGAAAGCAGATGGTACTTAATCCTGGCAAGGGGTGGGCCTTAGGCATTCCCACATATTGATCGTGGGGTCTAAGCAGGTGGAGCCATTCTGGAAAGACCTTTGGTAATACATTAAAGGAACCTAGAGCTACTAACATCCTTTGATCTAGAAAACATGCCCTTTCATATGCCCCAGATTATAATCAAGAAAGGACTGTGGATCTGCTTCCATCAGGATGACTGCTAGGCCAACTCTGCAGAGCAGTTCTTCTCCGGCAGGCACGGGGTCGCCGTGACTCGGAATGAACTCAAGGGAAAGGAGATGCCCCTGTTGTTCATCCTCACAGAAGTAGACAAAGATTTGTGGACAGAGATGCCCATCGCAGCATTCTATCTCCTAGCCATTTGAAAATAGGAAATACTGACAATGTTCAACAACAGGAAAATCCTAAGCATTCGTTACACATGAGATAGAGAACAATATTAACTTTCCTCGGGCATGCTACGCCTTAACCCCACCAGTGATGCTGATAGAGTTAGAGTGGACATAGGGAAAAACCACAGGAATGAAAATGCCCAAATGCAAGTATTGGTATTTTGTATTTTCTCCTATTTTATGCTTCACCTATCTAGAGAGCATATGTTTTTTATAAAATGCTTCTTTTACCATTTTAAAAGACAACACAATTATTTTAAAATTCCAAACCAAATTCACTGCCATAGAATTGATGCTGACTCATAGCGACCCTGTAATACAGGGCAGGACTGCTCCTGTGAGTTTTCAAGACTAGAACTCTTTACAGGAGTAGAACACACCGTCTTTCTCCTAATGAGTGGCTAGCGGTTTTGAACTGCTGACCTTGCAGTTAGTCGCCCAATATGTCACTGCTACGCCATCAAGGCTCCCATTTTTAAATTTAGTCCTATTGAAGTCATACAGACTTACAATAATGAAAAGTCCTTTTGAAAAACATTGGCATGGCTAAGCTGTGCTCATGAGTCCCCCTTGTCCCGTCAAGTCATGTTTTACAGCCAGAACCCGCCTACTTTCAAGGAAAGACAAGAAATGTCAGAACATCTAATCAAGGAGCAAATCAGTAAGTATTTACTGAAGACTTCTTATATGCCTAGAGCTTTTATAGA